CACAAACGGTAGGGGTGTGTGACGTCCTTGGGCAAGTCGTATTGCTACAACAAACCCGCTTACCACCGCCACTAAGATGATATGTATAGGATACATCGGTTAGCGAGTCCAAGTTTACTTCGGTCTCAGATGCTGTGAAGCAATCTACACCCCACTATAATAATCCTTTTCAAGTCCCATTTCTTTCAATATAATACTTTTACATATTTGAGACATTCCACATATTTGCTTTATTTCATAGACCATACTACTATATATCTTATACCTATAGGACTTCAAGTCATAACTCTGCTATCATAATGCTTATACATCATAGAAACCTTCTATATTAATGCTTTGGTTCCATAGACCTTACACTATCTTAAGTCCCTAATATAGGATTAGTCATTCTGCAACAATACTACATATTAGCTATCGGTCACCCGACCACCCCATATATGTCCCACTTCTTTCAATAATATAATGCTTTTATATATTTGAGACCTTCCACATATTTGATTTATTTTATAGACCATACTATTATATGTCTTGTACATATGGGACTTCAAGTTATAACTGCTCTCATAATGGTTATACATCATAGAGACCTTCTATATTAATGCATTGGTTCCATAGACCTTACTATCATAAGTCCCTAATACAGGACTATACATTGTGCAACAGTACTAGTAGCAGTCGGTCAGCCGACCACCCCATCTATATGTACACCCATGGGTATGTGCCTCCGGCAACGCCCTTCATATAAGCAATCATTACATGAACACACTCTAGTAATACAAGAACACCCTCATTAACTTAAGAAAATTTTTGACCCATTTTTTTCAATTATATTACAAATATTATTTATCTTTATTATTGCAATATAATCGAATCTCATTTGTATTATTTAATACATTTTGAAAATTTTAAACAGAGTTTTAATAAAGTTAGAGATTTTTAAAGACAATATTATGTGTTTACTATACTATAATATTCAAAATTCGTAATGAATATATTTGAACTTAATGCTTATTAGTGCATTTTAATTGTTTAAAATATAATATCTATGATATTTTTAAATGTCTGTATAATTACTATTTATTAATAATAATTATGAGCCGTCACAATATTATCATCTATATGTTTACTACACTTGAAGAAGTTTTGACATTGACGCAGTGCTATGTAATATCCTTGTAATATCTAACGTAATGGCTACGCAATATGGTTAGATAAGGGTTAGATGGAACGGAACGTTTAAATCTATATATTATTACGTGAAGGGAAAACTTTGTACCTATTTTATTTATTTATTTATTCACAAATTGCGTTATGTATATAACGAGCACGTAGGAGTGTGAGATTTGGCATAGTTAAAGTTAATATGCAGAATTAATAACTGTTACAAATACACATCACATTCATACGTATACATGCTCGTCGGTTAAAAATTCCCTATATTTGTCCCATCTTTAATATATCTTCAATTTGGTCGATAAATTTTCGTCTAGGTCGCCTTATGCTGACTTTTCCATTCACTTATGCAATATAAATTTGCTTTGTCAGTCCTTCCTCATTCATTCTTTCTAAATGCCTAAACCACCGAAGTATTTCTCTCTTGATCCTGGTTACAACACAATCTTGCAAATCACACTTTTCTCTTATCACATAGTTTCTCACGCTGTCATTCAGAGTGAACATTAAGATACTTCTTAATGACCGCATTTCTAAAGCATTTATTCTGCTCGCGTGCTACTTCTGCCGCACCCAACTTTCACCCCAATACATAAGGGTAGGAACTAACATAGCCCCCCCGCCTGCATTGTTGTAGTGGGGGAGGGGGCGGGCTTAGTAGCCGTGACTTGGTCAACCATGGGGAACTAAGAGGAACCATGGCTGGCCCGAGGTGAAAGCCTGGCACGAGGTGGCCGTGGACGGTAGCTTAGCAAGCCCACTTCAGATATATTTTGGTGGGCAACGAGAGGGGTAACCTCCCCCTTACCGCTGCAGCCAAGATGGAGTCGCGGGGGAGCAAGAGTGTTGGCATAGCGATGCGCCACTCTCCCTGTACTCCGCGACTCTAGCGGAGATGCATCGCTGATACGGTAGTGCTGGGGCCGTAGAGGAAGAGGAATGTCGGTATTGTGGGCGCCGTCCTCCCTACCCTCCGCGGTCGAAACTTGGTGTGTGACGGAGCCACAGACCAGATCTGCCGCTGGGGCCAGGAAACCTGGTAATTCCGAGTGCTCGTATTTTTCTGACCCTAAGGAAAGCCCACCTTGGCACCTTATGTTCCTGGTGCGCCTTACCTGAGAAGGAATAAGGGGAGGAGAAGTTCTCTTCCGAGGAGTGGATGCCATGGGGCAGCCGGAGTTGGTGATGCCGCCTATGTGCGTGAAAGCGTTCCAGTCGCCCTGCCAATATGCGCCGAGGGTGGGACACGATGGGGTTTTAGTTAGTGCAAGTTCGATATAACCCGTCATTGCCCCCGCGTAGCGGGTATGCGTAGGCATTTCTCCGTGTAAAAAAAGGGAGTTAAACATTGTGAATTTTTGACATTGTGAATTCACATACGTGCCGCTTTTGACACATCCTGACAATAATGTTCTGACTTAGTACACTTAATGGTCTCTGATGAAACAGTCGCACCACGTAGAAATTGTCGACAGTGAGTTTAATTTTAAAATGTTGCCAACAAATAATTACTGCTAGATTGACTGAATGATTTTAAATGTACCATATGAGAAGAATGTCTGATGTGTGTGTCAAGGCAAAAACATTTTAATTAATATTTTGTATAAAAGATATGTATGTAATATGTGCAGTCGAAAGTGGAATAAATCTAACTTACTATAAAAGTTTTAAAAAATTTGACAACCACTTTGTAATATGTTTGCTCTTGCCTTTGCCTGTTTATAAAAATATTTTTATCAAAGTAAAACTCGCTTGTTTTTATAATTTTATTATTTCCATTGATGTAATGTTACTTTATGAATACAACATTTTTACGAATTGTGAAAACTTTGTTAGGAATTCGACTAACGATTGATGTTATTTCCCCTCTTAATAATGCAGTCACGTAATGCGCGCTAATGAAAATTGTTGCGTGACGACTGAATTCGAAGGCATTTTGCACCGTGTTAGGAGTAGATACCTAAATGGAACTTTTGACAAGTCTAGAAATCGTGTTAATAAACAGCGACTAGCTTATATTTTGTGATATAGTACAACTGTTGATAATTATACCCCATTAATAATTTTGAAAAAAAAATGGCGGCAGCAAATAAAAATACAGACGAAATTAAGAGTCTAATTCTCTTACAAATAGAGCGAGATTGGAATGATTTTCCAACACCAAAGCAGAAAATTCAAACTTTTTAAAAATTTGAAAGCGAACATTCGCAATAAGCTCTATAAGTCATATTTTACAAAGCGCACAGCCAAGGAGTGGAATGCCCTCACGGCGTCTGATTTTTCGAGTGCGTATAACATGAAACTTTTCAAGGTGCTTGTGAACAGGCTCCTTATGGGAAAACTTATTCCATCATAGACCTCATTTTTGCCCTCGGGCCAGGTGGTCTGGCTGCCAGGAGGTCAAGTGTGAGCCTATCTCTGTTAAAAAAATATATTCGGATCAAATATACCCCTTAGCAAATCGTATAAAGGCCCTAGGAATAAAGTCAGACGGGCGGGAAAGGTATTAAAATCAATGGTGAGTACAACACTCACCTTCGATTTGCCAATGATTTAGTCCCTAGTCACAATTGCTGGAAGACCTTAGAATGATGCTCAATGACCTCAATAATGTCTCCCAACGGATAGGATTTCAAATGAACATGAATAAGGCAAAGTTCAATGTTACACCTATGACGGTAGCTGTTGGGAACACTACGCTTGAAGTTGTAGGCAATTATGTTAACCTAGAATATATTGGCCAACTAGGTATGTCCAACTTCGTCCGAGAAGCGAAACTGGCAGTTTGTGGCGCAGTGGCTTAGCAATGAGTCACAACGCTAAGGGCCGCGGATTCGAATTTCGCACGGAACAAGTATTTGTATGGCCTACAATTAATTGTCAATTAATAATAATGGTCTGGATGTTTGTCCTTGTGAAATTTATGTATGTAAACTGCCCCTACGATACGATACAGGAGAAAATCCTAGTGTGGTGGTAACGTTTTTTTTTTGAAAAAAAAAAAGAAAAACAGAGAGGTCAATAAGCGAATTTGACTCCGCTTGACAGCGTTCTTAGAGAGTTCTTGAGATTACGACACATCTTCTCGTCACGTATACCGCAAAACTAGACAACAAGATTACACAGCGAGTTGATGTTGCCAATTATGACATATTATAGTTCTGAAACGTGGTGCTTCAAGGTCTCTATGCGTGATAAACATCGAAATGAGTATATACTTATTTTTCCAGAACTTCTGTCATTTGGGGTTTTGGGTTTTATTATTACAATAAACGATCTGTCATAAGTAGTTAGGAAGGCACGGTGTATGCTGTTGGTAGAAGATCTCAAGTCTCCAATTGTTTCTTTAAGTTACGAAACGCAAGTGATTGTAAGCGTTTACATAAGTGAAATAAACTATCGTTAAATGTCACGAAATGTTTAATTTTATATAATTAAGCAGATTAAAAACACTCCACTAAACTATCAACTGAGCGAAGAAACGTTAACGTGAACGGATTCAATACGAAGTTTGAGGTTGCGTCTGATTGAATTTGGATTATCGTTTCGGAATCAAATCATCAATAGGTCTTTCATTCTTTGTGTAGTTGGTGGCTTTACAAATACAAGTTCTATTAATTGCAAAAGAAGCCAACTGGAAATCAAGGACGCTGTGTAGGCTCCTCGATAGGCCAAATATAGTCTTAATAACAGACTTGTCTACATACAAAATACATTTTAAGAAACCTACAAGATTTGAGGTTATACATACTTGTATATCTCGTATCCGAGCTACTCTTTGATGAACATTATTTACTTTAGGCACAGATGGACACAAAAAATTTGAAATGGAAGAGAATTTGATACTCGCATATTATTTAATAAGAGATTTACGTGGGCAATTATCGAATCTGGTTATATTGAAGCGTCAGAACTTGTGCGTGCCGAACGAGTTATTTTTTTATAGAATAAGGGTGGGAAACGAGTACACAGCCGACTTTCTAAGTGAATGCCGTGGCTCGTAGACACATCATATCACAGCACTAACATGTGTTCTTACCCCTGAGGATTAAAATGGAATGCCTCGTTACCAATAAAAATGATCTCCGGTTCTCTAAATTCACCATAAGAAACACATCAGCAATTTTCTATTGTTTGACGTGAAAGTGAGGTCCTACCGCCGGTGGAGCTGGCCCATTCATGCCGTAGCCATATACTCGTATACAGCGTGTATCTACCACGTAAGAAACATACAGCGTCGGCGGCGACCGTATTTGTTCGTGCTGTCCCGCACCAGAACTAACTTCCTAAATACTTAGTTAACCTAGTAAATTACACAGAATGAATTTAAGGAATTAGTTTTAAAAAACTCAATTGTGTATTATATTATAAAATAATTACGTAGACTACACTATGGAACAAAGTTGTGCTGTAGTGAGAGTGGTATTGTAAAAATACAAATTCACTTTGATCATTAATTCACTGAGTATACGTCGAGCATACAGATGAAAATGAAATTTGAGGAAGTTGTGTACTGGTTGAGAACTTCTCAATTTAGTTCTTTATTGCTAAACTTATTAAAAGGATCTTTTTAAATCCTTTAGGTTTTAATAACTATTATATCTGTCATATACTTGACTATCTAGTTTGTCTAGTGGTTGTTGTAGTTCGACTGCTAATCAGGAGATCCTGGGTTCGGGTTCCAGGTGGGGCCAGAAAAAGAAAACAGTTATTGACCTTTTCCACCAAGAAATCTTCACTAGCTGCCCAGAGTCAGGAAGTTGGCGGTTTCTTACTCCCGTGCCCCGGAAAGTACGTTGTCTATTGGTCCTGCGCCTGATCTCTCTCAGTTCATGTCGGTTTACCGTCACATTGGACTATAAGGGAATAGATAGTACACGTGTGCTTGAGCATACACTTATGCACTTTAATCATGTCCTGCGCCGATGGCTAATCTCCGTTGAGGCTGGCCGCCGTGAACGAAATTCGGTCTGGAGGATTTTTTTTTATAGGAGAGGGGGCAAACGAGCATGCGGCTCACCTGATAGTAAGTGACTACCGCCGCCCATGAACAACCGCAACACTAGGGGAATTGCAGATGCGTTGCCGGCCTTTTAAAAAGGAGTAGGCTCTTTTCTTGAAGGTCCCTAAGTCGTATCGGTCCGGAAAAATCGCTGGTGGTAAACTATTCCACAAGGAAGTTGTGCGAGGAAGAAAACATCTTCTAAATCGCACAGTGGTGGACCGCCAATCATCCAGATGGTGTGGATGGTATCGGGAGTTCTGCCGCGATGTGCGTTCGTGAAATTCGGCGGCTGGGATTAATCCGAATAATTCCTCAGAGCACTCCCCATGGTAAATGCGAAAGAAAATGCTAAGAGATGCAACATCTCTTCGCAGTGCCAATGAGTCGAGCCGATCGGAAAGGACTCGGTCGTCGTTTTATTATTATTATTATTATACTCGACTACTATCTCGCCTTATGGTAAGTATTGAAGATCATTTCATTACTGTTCGAATTACTACTGGTTTTAACAAACCTGTGCTGTGGTTCACATAAACCGTTTGGTTGGAACGGAGAGGGAGAAACTAAGTAACGTGATTCCTGCACACATTCTCCAAAATGTAGGATACATCATTGTAGGTATCAGGGCACCAAGAAGCTCGCTATTTTGTGTTTGTGCTCGAGACTGGTAATATAGAATTGTAAATTCATTCAAATTTACCTAGTCTTGGCTTCTTCTTTTCGCCTGCTTTTGCAATGAAAAGACACGTTCCACAGTGGTAGAGCCACGCGGCAGCTTTTGCTGTCGCACGGATGGGCCGGCTCGAACCGGGGTGGTACCACGACCTCACAGAATACCAGCGTGAAGTAGAGGTTTACCTCTGCGTTTCGCTTGGTGAGTGCAGGTGGCCGGAGGCCCTTTTTACTGGAAATGAGGCATTCCATCTTAGTCCTCACGGGTGGCAACGCATCTGCATTTTGATTCGCAAACGAGGATAGATGTAGATGTCTATGGGCCGCAGCAACCACTTACCATCAGGTGGACTGTGTGCTCGTTTGTCACCCTTATCCTATAAAAAAAAAAAAAAAAAAAAAAAACGCCTAGCTTTGAAGGGTTTAAATTTTACAAGACTATATTCGTCCCGTTTGGAGAATACCGACAGTGAGATATTTAAGCGCTCAACCATAGCTTATTTTTTGGTTGGATTTGAACCTATAAGAAACCGGCATAATCATTAAAGGCACGCAAAATCAGCCTTCGACAACGACAAAGAAATAAGAAATATTAATATCCATCGAGAACATTTCTTCCTTAAGGTTTTTCGTTCTTTAAGTTTCAACTCATTGCGAATTCAGCTTGTCAATTCCAACAGATCCGTTGGGCAATGTCGGTTACTCTGGTTGTACTGCGGATAATATCGTTACGAATTCTATCATAGTTTTTTCATTAAATAATAAGTAGTGAACATTTCCACTAGAGATGCCTGTGAATCATTATTTTATCGTCATCGGCAATATCTCAGTATCAGTAAAAAAACTTTTGATATATTCCTTATAATTTTATCTTTATTCAAAAGTGTTATGTTTCTTTTTCATTTAACAGTGTTTATATCAGTTACTGTCTTATGAAAATATGTTATTTTTAGCACGACTGTACCTAATTGTTGTCATGGTACTACAATCGCAATTGAAAACAAATTCTTCTGGGAGCTTTAAACTTACTTTACATTTACATTCATATCTGTGATTCAGAGATAAAAACGAGTAAAACTGTTCATTAATAGTCTGCACTAAGTTTCGAGCTGATCAATACTCAATTTCGGTGCCAAGTCACGAGTAAATTGTCAATTGACTCAATCCGCTTAGCCATTCGACTGTTCATGTAACGAGATCATATTATTGCATTTGTTAATTTATAAGTCGCAGTAAAGAATTTTTTTTGAGAAATATTTTTCATCATACTAGCGAACTGCCCTGGATTTACCTGGATCTATTAAGTAATATGGCGTCATTTTGATTTAAGATAAACATCAAAGACCATATTTTATCATGTTATTTAGTTTTCTTTCCTGGCATAGCTCTCTATCTGTTCGGCAAGTTTTATTACGGTCGACTAAGACGTTCTGAAGGTAAGCCCGGACAGACAGACATACAGACAATAGACAGACAGACAGCCAAAAATTTTCATATAGTAATAGCATGCAAATAACCCCATTACTTCAAAAGAAGTCAGTTATTGCGATATTACAGATAGACACTTCAATTTAATTTATATGTAGTATAGATGTTTAAATTATCTATATAAATAAAATAATAGAGATTTGCAGTTATGCGCGCATCACGGAAAACTTCTGGATAGATTTCAATTAGGTTTTCTAAGTTTTATTTCTTAGACACTTGGCCTTTATCTAAAAAAAATATTGCGATATCTTCATTTAATATAAAGCTATTAAAATATTAAGAAACAACGAGTTTTATGAGCACTACGTGTTCATATGTAATATATCAAGCAACGCGGACGAAATCGCGGGTATTAGCTAGTAGATAATAAGATGTATATATTTAAAATAATATATATCTTTATGTAAGAAAGTGGCGTGTCATAAGAAGCGACAGAGGGAAACTGAGGCAGAAGATGGGCAGCAGCACCTTTCTGATGTATCTGTGTCTAACAATAAAACAACAATAAAAAAACTGCGGTTGCCAAACTACTCGCCAAGCGTGGCAACTATGGCAAATATCCTTCCATAATGAGAGTTACGAGAGACGGCCCCCAGTTCCCGGCGGCTCAACTATTCCTAGCTAAAGTGGCGACCATGGTAACGGCGGGGCAGTGGGTGCTATGAATCTCCGGTGGAGGTTCGACACCTAAGACGACTCGACCTGGCAACATATAACACACGCACCCTGAGGACTGACAAGATCCTGAAGCTAGAAAACAAGATAGACAAGTTGTTGCTGGAATATTATAGGATTATCCGAGGTCTGAAGAGAGGGGGAGGACATGGTAATCCTTGAATCTGACAACTTGTTCTATCACCGGGAGGGCGACCATCTGTCCAAGGGAGGTGTCGGATTTATCATCCACAAGTCTCTCGTTAACAATGTTGTAAAGATTGAAAGTGTGTCGACGAGGGTTGCGTACCTTATACTCAGAATTACCATACGGTATTCGCTGTAGCTCAAACAGGTTTATGCACCAACCTCAGTACATCCCGATGAGAAGGTGGATAAAATGTATGAGGATATCTCTAGAGCCATGCATTCCTCCAAAACCCAATATACGGTGTTAATGGGAGACTTCAATGCAAAACTAGACACAAGAGAGAACGGTGAGCTGAAGGTACGAAAATTTGGAATAGATCAATGGAACCCAAGTGACCAACAGCTGGCCGACTTCATGGAGAAAAAGGGACTCTTTATGTTGAAATTTTTCTTACAGAAGCGGCTCCAAAGAAAGTGGACCCGATCGAGCCCCAACGGTTAGACAAAAAATAAGATTGACTACATTATAACGACCAAACGTCAACTGTTCAGTGATGTCTCAGTGTTCGCTAGGGTGAAAACTGGTAGCGACCACCGAAAGTTTAGGGGCACACTGAACCTAAACGTTAAGTTGGAGAGGTCTCGTCTAATGAAGTCGACGCTCCGTCCCCTTCGTGCTCTAATCCAAAGTCTCGAAACCTTTCAGTTCAAGCTACAAAACCGTTTTCAGTGCCTAGAAGATTGCGATGCAGTGTTCAATATGAATGACAAGCTCGTGGAAACTGTCCATGTGGTCGGAGCTAAGTTCGCGTAAGTTAATATCCGCCGCAGAAGAATACAAAAACTCTCCGATTAAACTCTTAATCTCATGGCTATTAGACGGGGAATGAAACTGCAATCTTTAACAGCATACAGGCAACTGAACAGATAGATCTCCAAATGCATGTAGCAGGCCTTAAGCAACTTCAATACAGCTCGTATTGAAGAAGCGATCGAGCGGAACCAGGGCTCCAAAATCTTTGCTAGAGATCTATTTGCCAGAAAGAGCCAACTGTTGAAGCTGAAGACCGAGTGTGGCAGCATAGTTTCTAGAACACCTGAAATTTTGAATGAGTTTGAAAGGTTCTATGGACAACTGTTACATATCAATCGTTGGAGCCACACGCAATTGTGAGTAACGATCCAAGAGCATGTCTTATCCCACACTATTTTGATGATATTCCGGACGTCAGTCTAAGCGAGATTAGAATGGCTCTTCAGCACCTTAAAAACGGCAAGGCCCCAGGCGAGGATGGAATTATAGCGGAGCTTCTGAAAGCGGGTGGAAAACCGGTACTTGAAGTCGTTCAGGAGCTCTTTAGTTCCGTCCTCCATGGTGGCATTACACCGGAGGCGTGAAGCAAAAGTGCGATGGTCTTATTCTTCTAGAAAGGTGACAACGCTCTCTTGAAGAACTACAGACGATTTCCGTGTAAGGAAATCCACTACCCCATATTTTCCCGTGGGTGTCGTAAGGAGCGACAGAGGGAAACAAACCAGAAGATGGGAAGCTGTGCCTATGGGGAGCTGTGTCTTCCTATAGGAATTTGTGTCTTCCTAATAACAACAAAAAAAGTTATGGTTGCAAACCGGCCTGTCAAGTGCTATATATGGGTAAGCCTATGTGCAGCGGTGAGCTTTTGGTAGGCTATATTGTTGGCAATACATACGAGTACATGTGGTTGTTCTGCGCGGGATTTAAACACGTAGTCCGCAGCGCCAGAGCCAACTACAGCGCCAACGAGTCGATGTTAAGGTGTGATTTGTGATATGATTTATATAACAAGCTTACTAAAAAAATTTCAAAATTTCAGAATGTCAACCGTAACATTTATTGCTAAAAAAGAAAATTCATGGAATTCCTGATAAATGGACTATTTTGAATTATACAGTTGTATAAAAAATAATAGTCATTCGGATATCATGCAGAAATTATAAAGCGTTACACATTTAATGTGACGGAATTCTATATTTCTACGAAATTTTGGCGATATTTTGTGAGCGTCCGTGAAGGTATCTGAAAAAAGTAATATTTGTTTCTGTGAACGTTCGTTTTATATGCTTTCCCTTTACTATTTATCCGATCACGTTGCATTACAACACATGCCGGGTACAACTAGTGTCCACATATTTATATAGATGTGCCATTCTTACTAAGAAACTTGAGTTTTACTACTTACTCTGTTTGATTCGAATTACTACAAATTCTATTCCATCGCTTTCTTTATACTTTTTAAGGAATAATTTCTCGTTGAGCCTCATTTCCGTACTTTGATCTCGTATCGCTCGGTAATGAATGGGGCCTTTGTGTGGTAATTCGGCCCGGCGGATATAACAGCCCATTGTTACATCAACTAGACACCTATTAGAAGTAAAACGTATAGATATCCGAAAAGAATATTTAATTGAAATCGTTGATGCGTATTATTTTAACGCTTAAATAATAACTTTATTAGTACACAAAAACATATATGCAGTTCACACGAGATAGAAGTGAAACCTTCAGAAAACTAAATTTCGAGAGAATAAGATGAATGCAGAGTATCAGGAGTAAGATTATTGTAGAGTTTTTTTTTAATAATATTGTTACCAAATTTAAAAATCACTTTACATTTTGTTTCATATTTTATTTATGATGTATAATGTTATATATTAACATTACACATCATAAAGACTCAAAAATTTCAATTTCATATTCTTTTTTTTTATAGGTTAAGGGGGACAAACGAGCACACAATCCACCTGATGGTAAGTGGTTGCTGCGGCCCATAGACATTTACGTCTATCCTCTATTACAAATGAAAATGCAAATGCGTTGTCACCCGTGGGGACTAAGATGGAATACCTCATTTCTGCTATTTTACGTTGGTATTCTGTGAGACCGTGGCCCGTCCCCGGTTGAGCTGACCCATTCGTGCTACAACTATACTACTAATATAGTTGCAGCATGGCTCTGCCACGTAAATACTTCAATATTTTGTAATCAACAAATTATGGTCCCGATCCAAAGATCACGTGCATATTCTCCATACATAATAGAAAACACTATATAATGTATTTTAACGAATTCTCTCGCACGGTAAATACTAAAGAGTCTCTTTTTAGTGTTATTTTTTCCTTTCATCGACTTTAAAATCACAAAGATTCTAAAGAAATTTTCACTTCAAAAAATAACATCACTATTAGCACTACAGCACTACAACAAGTCCACTGTTGAACATAGGCCCCCATAAATAAAAGCAAAGTACGGAACGCCACTTGCAACCATCAAAAACCTGCATTTTTGATGAGGTTATTTTTCTTTTTGGTGCCACTCAACACTCCTACACAGGTATTGCGAAATTCCCTCAATGTTTAAATACTTCAAGAAAATGTCGCAGTGCTATTTTGAAAGCGCCTGACTCACATCTCAATCCGCTAGTGGTAAAAGCAGCCCTCCACTTACGCTCCGACTCTAAACGTCACGACCAGTCTCCAGAGACCCTGTAAAGTTTTAATAAAACCCCCAGTTCCACTAGATTCCGACGACAGTAATATTGCCGGCTCGTCCGTCACACATACAGTGTCACAAACACGTTTAGGACAATGGATGGGAAGCAGAGTGCGTGCAGACGGGCGAGCCGCATACCCCTACACACTGCGTACCGTACACCCGCGTGCCTAGACGATTCTCACCGTTCAGATCTCTGGTCGGACACTACTCATAGCTCATCTGTACATAACTTGTACAGATGAGCTATGAGTAGTGTCCGACCAGAACGTAACGTAACGCTGTAAATAATAAGCAATCAGTCCCCCCTTCCCTACACCCCACCCTTTTACTGCTTGCGGTCTTTCTAGCCACGAGTTCTGGGTCCAATGACCCTGTTAAAGCCAAAAGGCTAACAGCATTGACATCACAGAAACAAGATCCTGCCACTTGAGGACATTTTCCCTACTGTTGGGCCATTCCACTTTAATTCAATTTCCCCTTCGAAATATAAGTTATTTTCCGTCTTTAGTCTACTGAACCGTTAGAGTTAGACTATGTCAGTTACCTTTGTTCTTCTGCATTATCGTTGTTACTGGTTCTATAACACAGGGACAGAGAAATATCGAGGATAGCCCACTTCATATCTTTACTGTAAGCTTCCTTGAGTTTTATAGACAACTCTTTGATGCAAGCACATCTTCGTTCGATTCAAACGAAAGTGCAAGTAGCAACAAAAGAACTAATCTTATTCAACACTTTCGATGATATCCCGGACTTCGGTCTAGGTGACATTAAATTGACTCTCCAGAAAGTTGACGATGAAAAGATAGTCCTTAGTTACTCGGTATCTAAAATTCTTAAAATTCTTTTCAATTGCGTTTCCCCTTTTGTGCAACAGAACAGAGGCGTGGAACAGAATTATAGTAACTTTATTCTAAACCTTGTTGAAGAACTCCAGAACAATTTCTTTTATGAGCCATGTCTACGTACTATTAATGAATATCATTACAAATTATCTTGCACGCAGACTCCATCTCCTCCAAGCCGGTTTCCGAAAAGGCTTTAACACTTTAGTCCAAAGAAAATTAATTAGATAATAGATTGGTAAGATACATAACAGAAACATAAACATATAAGTTAGGAAGCCATTAACTTAAAAAGTTTGAATTGTTAAATACAAAAATGTGAGTAATGTCAATGTCCCCGAATATATCCCCGAATATAGTAGTGTAAGTGTTCATGTCGCCGACAATGAACGAATAAAATTAATTCGAAACAATTGAAGGAATTTGAATTTCCTTTGTATGTAGTTAAGAAGATTATTTTCTTTTTTAAATAAAACATTCCACTTTTGTAGCTTTTAATTATTAAATATGATAAAATAATAAACGTTGTAGAAAAAGATTATGAAGAAATATTGTACACCATACAAGGATTAAGTTTTCATTTCGGTTTAACTAAAAAAGATTTGTGTGTATTTTACGGATTTTATCGTTAACTATGACATCTGGACAAACACCTCAGTTCCCCCACCTCCCAAAACATTGGGGATTAAAAAGTTAAAATTAAACTCGATGAAATCCGTAAAATTAGTTTCATTTAACTGCCCAAAATTAAAACGCAAGTGTAGTCTGTAACAAAAGCCAGACGAATGTGAAAAGTAAAACAAAATGACGATATCTCTAAAAAAATTGCAGAAACAGCTGCCTGCAAGTCCATTAAAAAGCCTTGTTGAATGTCCCAGTTTTTATTTTTATTAGTAATTAAACAATTAACCCATTCGGTCGCACAAAAGAGCTTTTCTGAAGCTCCCCTCTAAACGCGAGAAATTTTATCCCTATTCAAAGAGCATTGTGGTAATTTTAGGTCGTTTTTGATTCGTCTACAAGATAAAATCTTTTGCCATTATGAAAACATACTATGGTTTTCATTTCTTTCAATAACATTTTATAGTAGGCTGTTTATTTTCGACTTAAAGTGATATATACAGCAGATTATATCTGTTTCATAAATAAATTTGAATATAAAGACTTGTGTTTCTCGTTTTGTACTGATGTTGTGGTTTATATTCTAACACGTAATAGTTGTACCATTTATAAGTAACTGTTGTTATAATAAATAGACCGAGTACGATCATCGCCGGTAGTAATAAAAATTTAAATTGTTTTTTAAGTGATGACGTATCTATCATATGATTAGCGATGAAGGAAAACATCATGAGGAATCTTGCATGTTTCGGACCATGTGGAAGTCCACCAACACGCATTATGGTAGATTCTTTTTTGCCCTAAAACCCGCTCAGAAATAAAAAGGCATGTGCTCAACATTAGGTCGTATATAGACTATTACTTAAGGTTGGGTAACATTGACAACATATTATCGGGTATGTTGAGTCAGCGATTGCTCCGCCAGGTTACATAAAATATAATACCAATATCTCTCCTCGCTCCTCAAATCCCATTTAAAGTAATATGCGAGAGTGATAAAATTATTATATTGTACTTTCAGTGATGTTTAAAGGTGAAATAGTAATAAGTAAAACAAGGTTTTTTGTAGTTTATTTTTAATATATAAATCTCTTTTGACTTGAACACGATCACTAATTTTACAGACAAAGTTTATAACATTGATTATTCTATGTTACATCAGTCGAGTAGCTTAGAACAATACGTACAAAATTAAAGTCTCGCTGACCAATTAAAACAATTCTACAATATATGTACATTATTTTTAAATGGCGATTGACAAGTGAAATGTGTACATTTTATAAAGTGTGCGTATGATTATTTAACTCTCGTATTAAACAAAATTGCTTATGCTAAAAAGCTAATTCCAGTGAGATAAAACGTAATTGTTTATTACATAATAAAATTATCACACCCTGTTTTTTACTAAAACAACACTGTAGGTAAATGTACTATCCCTAAAATGTCATTCGCCATTATGGTTTAAAATCGGTATTTCCTGATTTTTACATATAAAAATAAAATAAATTTAACATTTAAATCTTTGTATTATATTGCATATTGTGTACATCTATCATTTTATTAGTTGCTTTAGTGATTAAGTTTTCGAATAAATTACAACAAAGAACTACTAAAAAGTGTGTTGAGAACAGAATTATCAATATGTATATATATATTACATACATTAATAACACATCATATTCAGAAATATATTTTAAAGTATTTTCTAAAAAATACTGGTAAAGTATTTTTGGACACAATGTTTTCAAAATAACTTTACTACTTTGATCCAAAAATTTAAAACATTCGAAAAGAAGAGCTTTCACTAACGTTTAGATACAATTTAAGTTTTGATGAAAAACATAACCAAAAAGTATTTTTTTCTTTTAATTCTGTACTTTTTCGATCAATGAAATCTAAATATTACGTAAAAATATAGTGGCAGAGCCATGCTGCAGCTATATTATATTTTCTGGGAAAGACCACGGTCTTACAGAATACCAGCTTAAAATAGCAGCTTAATGCTACAAGTGTTTAAAACGATGAGTGAAGAGAAACGGGGGCACTTTTCGCTGATAATGAGGCATTCTAAGTTAATTCTCAGGGGTGAAAATGCATCTACATTTTGAATCTTAATCGTGAATAAAAGTTGGTATATATGGACCACATAACCCACTTACCATCAGGTAGACTGCACCCTTATTCTATAAAAGTTGTTGTATTCATAACTGTCATGATTTGTGATTCAAGTTATTATGTAAAACGCGTAGTGGATTGTGCTGTCATTATTGATTATTTACAAGATGTACATTTACCTACAAGCAAACATTAACAATAACTTCTAAAAACATTGTTAAAACATGATTCCAATGGCGTAGACAATGATTACGTTTATAAGTAGAGTGGACCATCAATGCTTAAATTTAATTGAATATTATTTTACATAGACAGTGTTTTTAGTCAATAAAAGCATTTTCGGTATTTTTTAATTTTTTAAGTTTTTAGTGGATGATAAAAATATTAGTACTGGAACCAAAATAAAATATTTCATAATATATTATCAATGTAAAACAAAATCAGATTCAGTGTCAGCCTTTTCTTGTACCTATAAATCTACTATAAATTGATAAGTATAACAACAACATAGCTATTATGTTTCTAGGAAACGGTCGTTATGACATTACAAAATATTAGTTAGGCTTCTCTATCACTTCAACGTATACTCGCCCCTCTCGTATTTAAGTCTCTATATATAAATGTCTGTTAAAACATTTTAGCCAAGCCAAAACAGTTTGTCTTTGAGACGCACTGAACATTACTTCATTGTATATACTTGAATGGAATGTTAAAATAATCAGGTAAGTTGCTTGAGATAATCGTTGCTATCTGAATCTGTTTGTAAGCAATTTGCGTCGAAATTGCTGTCGTAATCGTTGTTGCCTCCTGGCACTAAGTAGTGCTTCGTAGGAGCTGAAGACGGGAAATGTGAAGGGATCCGTCACTTCAGCTTTGTGTTAGGGAATCCAGCGGCACCACCAATTTTCCGTTTGAATAGCTGTAACAATAAAAACATTGATGACAATCATTTTAAAGCTTAATTATTTCCGCTTATAGGTTTAAAAGGACTTTTGAATTCAAAGCTTACTTGTAAAATATTATGAAAGATATTCTGAGACTAACTATCACAGATTAGATTAATTACGTAGTGGAAAGAATAAACAAAATAATGTAAATATATTTTTAAATAATTATAAACCGTCGCCAAATAAAATAAAAAATCAAAATGATTAAAAGCTTATAATTTTTAATAATTATTAACCTGTACGGAATAGTAGCTGTTCTGGATTTAGCTCTGCTTGGCCTACATGGATCATCTGTAACCAAGACATTATTTAATTTTACTATATTGTGTTCACTAGAACTATTATTAACAGTACTAGATTTGGCCGCATAGTATGATTTTGAGTAGTAAGCTACTCAGAGTGTAGAGTATACTCAACAGTATAATATACTAAGAGTATAGAGCGCTTTTTTGCTGAAAAATACTGGTAATGTACAAAATTTTATCTCTTTAGGATTAGCAAGCCTAACGTTGTCTTGGTTGATATTTGAAGATGTGTAATGCAGAGCAAGATTAAAAAAATTCTGATAAAAATTTAGGTATAAGGAGTTCTACCAAAAGGTAAATCTTTATTAATGGACGCGCTTTTAAATTTAAAATTGAATAAAATAAATATATTTAAATTGTGTGTAAATGTTTATTATGCCGTTAGTTTAAAATAAATATGGGAAGTGTTTAGGGACCCTTACCATAGTGCGGCTAACATCGTTGTGAGAGGCACGCATCGCATTTGACAGGTTCAGCGCGCCGCTTACTTTGAGAGCTCTGCGAGCCGGACTTACGCCGGAAAGTGTACCTAACGAGCAGACCTGCAATGTAAAACGCCGCACCGTTAACAAAATAAAAAATAAAAAAACAACAAATAAAGTAAGCGCGTCCAATTGAAAACGCCCATAGGCGAACGAAAGGGAAGAAACAGAGGATTCTTATGATTTTGCAAAGCAAAAAAACCTATATATTATGACAATTTATAATATCTTTTTAAAATGTGTTGTGTGTAATTAATGTACTTAATGTACAATGCGTTTAAAGCAATTGAATAATTAGATTAATATATTATAAATTATAAAACATTGTTTCTGTTGAGTTTGTTTTAAAAGAGCTTATGATTATTTTGAAAACAGGACAGCTTATGTTAATGTTTTTTTGTGTAGTTTATATTGTTAAAGTTCTTAAAAAATACATCATAAAATTTTCATTCACCTGTCAAACCGGCTTTGTTAATGCTATTGGAACTTGAAAATCCTGAAATCTTTTTCCAGGCTCTTTTGTTCCAGAATCCTGTTGATTTGGCGTCACCACAACTTGAACTTCGTGGCGAAGGTATTTCTCTTGGACATCTTAAAGTACATTCGTCCGCACCTAAAATACGTACACCTACACCACGGGTACCATATGACACTGCTGGTAAATGAGGCACTGAACCAGTAGGTTTCCTTCTCAAACTTCCCACGTAACTAGCTCCACTGCTACTTCCACTAAATCCGCTGTCTAAATCGGGAGGATTACAACTAGCAGGCGAAAGTAGTTCGTCTGTGGGGCCAACACGCATTAACTCTTCAATATTGTCTCTGTCCTCTGCTCTTTCTGAGTCTGGGGATTCACACTCTGGCATTAACATAGCTTCCACACTAAGATTAAGTTCACCTAAAATTCTTTTATGTCTAGACTCAACTCGTCGAACTTCTTCTTCGACTACACTCCTGTCTAAGGAGACTAAAGATTGTCGAGGGCCATATCGATGTTTTGGACAGGTTCGGGATCCATCCGTTATTTCTTCGTAAATATTTTCTTCAGTACCGTATCTTGTCACAAAATTGTGACGCGCTGATCGATCTCTAGGCATAGCTCGACCACGTTGACGACTTGCTTTTCTAGAAGAAGATGGCATAGATAATTGATGATCATAATAAGCATACGAATAGTCAACGGGTTCAAACCGCTCCATTGTTGCAGCAATATTATTTCTATTCCATGACTGGGGAGGCGGTTCTCTTGACAAATTAATAGCTCCTAGTCTTGCTGGCAGAATTTCATCCAGATCACGGGCACATCGTTCATCCAATGACTGTGCTCCATCGTCTTCTTCATGTCTATGTTTTCGGTGTGGTCGGTGTGAAGTTTGACTTCGTCCGTTACCGCGATCGCAGTCTGAACTATGGCCATGGTTGCACTCTGGAGTATGACTTCGATTGTATTCTACTGGCAAATGCTTGCAATCATGGTGATAATCAGGTGTTCGTCTAAGATTGTATGAGGAAATACCTTCAAAGTCTGACCTATCGTAACAAGGGCTATCATCATTGTTGCTTGTATGAGGATGTGGACAGTCGGCAGCAATGCCAGATTCAGAAGAAGGATAATCGTGCACTTCTGCAGTAGTAAGAACACGGTCATCGGGGCAAGCTGGCTCGGATGTTGCATGCCTGTGGTGAGGCCGTTGACGCGTATTCTCTCGACAACTCGCAAAAGTTCGGTGTAGTGATGGTTGATGGGGATATCGTCCACGTCGAGAATGAAATACCGCTTCCCCAGAGTCGTCGGGGCTCGGGGGCGCGCTGCGTGATTCCATGGTTCATCCTCTCATCCTCTTATCATACCTGTAATAAATAAATATAATATTAGTTTAGTTGAATAGTTTTTATTTCTTCATAGTAATAAAACGATTTAAAAATGGTAACAGATCCAATTTATGTAAAGTTTTTTTTTTTGATACTCGAAAAGAAAATGACACAGGAGATTTTTGGTAACAACTTAAAATAATAAAACTAGAGTTGAAGATATCTCCCATATGACGCAATCTATGGGACATATGGTTTATGTTCAGCTGTGGACTTTTCATAGGCTGTAATGAACTGTTAACGCTATACTAATACTCCTGTTAACAACTTAAAGTAAGCGTAAAATTCTTATTATAAGTGGTTCAACCTTAGGCTCAGGTTATTGTAGCTTCAATAGTATATGATGAAAGACTATGATGTAGTATTCTAGTTCTTAGTGGTTGCGACTAGCCTTCCTTGTTTGGAGTTGAAGGCATTAAATTATGTCTCTAATAATATGAAAAATAATTCGTTTAGGACTAGAAGTTTCATGACTATCAACCATCTTTGGAAGTCAGTCAGTGCAGGTTTCAATCTGAAATGGAAAGCTAACTATAAAATTCGTATTTTTTCAAACTGAGTCCCAGGCATGCTCCCTGTCAACAGATGGCCACTGCAGCTCACGGATACATGCAGTCATCTCTATATATGAAAGCTTTGAATTTCCACCGTGAGAACCAAGATAGAACTTTTTTATTAGAATAAGGCTAAACTTAATGAAGTTGAGGTAAGATATTCCGTATACTAGCAGCGGTATTGTCATGTACCTACTGTTTTAAACTTATTAAATTATAAGCTTTTGACTGTATCTACTATTAATATAATTGAAATTAATTCAAAAGTCATTATCATTATCAGAATTTTTTGTTCAATTTTTAATGTTCCGTATCCAAAGTGTAACAAACGGGACCCTATTACTAAGTCTCCAGTGTCCGTCCGTCTGTCTGTTAGCGGGCTATATCCTACGATCCGTAATAAGTAGACAGTTGAAATTTTCACAGAATGTGTATTTTACCGCCATAACAACAAATAGCAAAACTAAAAATTAATTAAAAATTAACTCTACTACTACCTAACCCTACTACCCTACTACCCTACTAGAAACGTGTTTTACGATGGTACGGAACCCTTCATGTGCGAGCCCGACTCGAACTTGGCCGGATTTTTAAACAATATTTTATAGAGATCGTTTTCTTAATTCAATAAATTAATTTGCGTGTTGGTTTGACTACCACGCTTTTTTAATATTCGCTGTTTTTTACAAGATGCTGCTGCCTATCTCTGTTCAAATTTCCCTCTGTCGCGTCGACACCTACGGGATGATATGGGGTAGTGGATATTCTTACACCGCAATTACACCACCCCATTCAACAGATTAATATTAATAAAATAATTAATGAATGTATGTCACCTAAAATTACTCGTGTTTTATTTATTAACTCAAGCTTTACCTAAACATAAAATGAGGAATAGCATTACTAGGAATAGCATGACTATGCACTCGCCGACTAGCCTATTTTTTCCAATTTTAGTCCAGCTGTAGACTTAAAATACTGGTAATAATGATCATGAAGTATGTGACTTATTTTTGCTCAGAGAGCACAGTGCAGTTATTTAATTTCCTAGGAAGACTAATTTTTAGACAATTATGGTATATAGTCGCGTTGAATTTGCTATGCTCTTAGAATAATACTATTTTTGTGTGTGCATGTATCAGTTATACAAATTAAACTTCATACTATTAAAATTTAACATGCCATCTTAGTCTTAGTCCTCAGAGGTGACATCACCTCTGCTTTTTGATTCTTAATCGAGGATAAATGTAAAATTGTGTGTAGTAATAAAATAAATAATTGTGGCCAATAGACATCTATTGGCAACAAAAGAAGGAGTGTCCTGGTGTATCACTCTTATTCTTTAAATAATACTATTCATCAATAATCACTTAGGTACAGCTACTTCTAGAAAATGTCAGTATTTTCATCCCTTTTTTTTTAGAAATTTTCAACGCGGAGAATCGAGGTTAATGAATTTGAAAATAGACTACGATAATGCTGTAAGCGATCAACACAGCTGCCAACGGCGATAAATTATCATTCCCTGTGGTACACAAGTAAATAATATGTAAATTGTGGTTATAATCTAAACAATATAGCGGATATTCTTCAAAGTAAAAAAGAAAGATGCCACCTGAGTCCCCTGGCTAGCCACAGGCCTCCTTACATTTTTGAGAAGTATTTAGAGCAAATAGTAATAAAATTGCTAGTAGCGCCGCGCGCTTCTAGCAATTTTCACAGTATCTTGAATTATTTTATTCCTTAGATATGCAAGTTTCCTTTCGATGTTTTCCTTCACCGCAGGGAACGTGGTAAATGATTACTTAAAGCAATTAATGATTTCATTGGTGCCAGCGGGGACGGTAACGGTAACCTGATTTGGTTTTGCAACGTTTCTTTTGTAATTTCCTATTTTTGCAATATTTATAACTTTTTTTATTTATTTTATCTTTCCTTTTCGAGGATAACTGCTGAGAAAAATAAAAGCGTATTGTAAAATAATTGTAAGGTAATTGCACGGGCATAACTGTTTAGAATCTATGCTTTTAGAAATTACTCTCAAAATTCAAATAAAAAATCAAATGAGAAAGAAACTGCTGGTTTAAATGTAATAAATTATTGTTGCGTTTGAAATTATTGCAAGGATTCAAGGCCAATTTATTACATAACGATGATAAGAATCCGAGTCTGAAGGGTGGTACACGACGAAGTATTACCCTCGACCCATCTCTATGGCAACGAAGCCGTTCCCGCGGTTTATCTGTTCATTTCCGCTCGATATTTCTTGCATCTAAATCATCATCAACACTGGGAAACGCCTCGTAAAGCGCTCGTTGACCGTCTGGCAGTTACTATAATTTGTTATGACCTCCCTTGCAACGCCCTATGATTTATTTTATACCTATCATATGTCTACACGAACAACATTGTATAACCTTGGATTTACTGTATGATGTACAGTAAATCCAAGGTATTTTGTATCCATAAATAAGAAAACTAGTTATATAGGTATTTCAGAGCTATTATTGATTGAGAGACTGCTCAAACTGGAGTTTATTAGAGAAATGTAAGGTTTTTCTTGTTTATATGGATACCAAAAACAGTTTTGAGTACATTAAACATCTTTGTTAAGAAATTATAGTTTTTTTTTTAAATTTGCCATGTATTGGGTGTCGTAAAAGGCGACAATAGGAAATGTCCAAAAATTTTATTGGCGATAGATGGCGGTATACGTATTCTCACAGGGCCAGCATGGGTAGGAGACAATTTTATCCCCGGGGAAAGGAGAAAATGTTTATCCCCTCGCTTCGTTTTATCCCTTCGAGCATGGGCACACCGGTGGATATAATATCCACAGTAGATAGACTTAGACTTACATAGATTTTTGTATGAATATAAACTTAAACACACGTCCATTGAACTAGGATAGAATTGTCCTTTCAAATGTCGAAAAAGTATAATTTTTTATCTATCATTTGGCTCCATACTACGGACGGGGGATATAATATGTCTACTCGTTATGTCAAACGGGGATATACTTCTCTCCGTTGCCGTGCTTTGGCATAAGGACATGATAATTTTATCTCTTATCAGTGGATATAATCGGGGGATAAATTTTTTATCCCCAGTCCATCCTAGCCGTGCTGATGAAGAAGATAGAATAAGTAATTATTTTCATACGTGTTTTTGTTACTATAATAAAACAATACATTTATAATTATTATATGTCAACTGAATAGTTAGGATTTCATTTACACGTCTAACTTTTAAATTTAAATACCTCGAAAGGTCAAAGTAGTCGTCCATTATATAATAAATAGTCAAATATTTGTCAAGATACGTTTAACAATTTTATACGCTTCATACACTAATACAAACTATTTTATTTTATTTAAGGATATTAATTAATTTTCCTATAATTCCTATTTACATGTAATATTACAACAAAAATATCCCACTGTTTAAACTATTGTAATTATATTGAAGGAATTGTAGCAAAATTTATGCTAGACATTATTCGACTGATGATATCAGCACATCTTTCTCCCCCTTTGCTCGCCCCTCGATTTTTGCCTGTTAGATATTTGTAGGGTAAAAAATGACGCAACATTTTTATTGGTAACATAACTTCAATCAATTCTTATTTTTGAGAACTTCTTGGACATATTTGTTAAAATATTTTTAATTTCAAATTCAAATGTAAACAGTAAGCTATACAAATATAATATGCATTTCTAAATATATGTTTATTTGTAGGAATATTTATTTGTAATTGCAAAATAAACTCTATATTAAGTATTTTAAAGTATAGTTATAAAAGGATGTAGATTTTAATTATAATTATATTGAAATAATATTCCATGATTTGATTATGTAAATTTAAGAATATCCTTTACCCCACATCGTCTCGTGGGTGTCATAAGTGGCGACAGAGGGAAACAAACCAGAAGATAGTTTACAGCGTTTTCATAATAACTAATAATTAAAAATTTTGTACGGCCGACTTCAATATAAGTTATAAGAATAACGCAAAACTATTGGTCCTTGATCAAATTCATATGGGACCACACGAGAAGTACCAGCTTTCAACTAAAAAAAGAATCATAGAAATCGGTTCACCCAGTAAAAAGTTATGAGGTAACACACATAAAAAAACATACAGTCGAATTGAGTACCGTCTCCGTTTTGGAAGTCGGCAGAAGAATAAGATAAAACTGCGGTTGTCAACCCTCCTGTCAAGCTTGGCAACTATGACAAATATCCCCCCTTATGAGACAATCTAAGGGGAGGCCATGTCACTGCCGATTTTCTGCCGACTTCCAAAAAGGAGCCGGTACTCAATTCGACTGTATGTTTTTTTTTTTCGTTTTTTTTTTTTTTTTATGTGTGTTACCTCAGAACTTTTTTCTGGGTAA